AGAAAGAAAGATAAGAATAGAATTATGCACGAAACAAGTGTGCTTCTACGAGTGTGTACTCCCTTGGAACCGATAAAGGTCCTCTCGTTATTCTACCAATGTACAGTTTAACTATCGATTCTAACTCGATTCTAATTTCTTCGATGTAAAAGGCTTTTCTTGCAAAATAACCATCATTAGAATATCCCATTTTCTTTCTGTCGCAACGATTATCTTTTCTTAATTAATTTCATTTATCTTTAATATTAACTTAATCTCGAATGAACTCATTCAAAAACAATGTGAATTAAACGATAACAAAAAAAAAAAAACAATTCTTTTTATTTTATTATTTATTATTTATTAGAAGAATAAAAAAGAATAATACGACGAATAAGTAAATACAATTTTAATAGTATCGTTTAATTAATTGATATTCTTTTAAAAAAATAAAACACAAAAAATATAATAATAATTAAATTGTGTAATGAATTCTTTTAAAAAAAAAAAAAAAGAAAGAAATTTGTATAAATAAATAACATAGGAAGATAAAATTATTATATACTTGATATGTTCAATTTATCTTTATAACGATACACAAATCTAATTTATTTATAACAAAAATGTATTTTTATCTATTTCATCCATGGTATGGGATATAGTCACGGTAAAAAGATTTTCTTTTTTTTTTTCTTCTTCTTCTTCTTTATTTTTTTTTTCTCTTTTTCGGAAAAGCAATTTTTCGACGATATTTCAACGTTGCGATGCTTTTTATTGTCTTCTTCTTTATCGTCGTTCGCGTTTATCGGAGGAAAAGAAAAAGGAACGAATAAAGGTTAAAAAAAAAAAGGAAAAACGAGAGAGAGAGAGAGAGAGTAAAAGAGTGTGTGTGTGTGTGAGAGAGAGAGAGAGAGAGAAAGAGAGGAATAGACGCGTTCGGTTCTTTCTATAGCTGAGCCTTCACCGCGTCCTCTCATAAACTTCAAAAACATTTCTTATAACCAGCGGATGTTCCGCGACGGTAAGATTCCTGGCGGGTCTTATCCAGAGTAGAGATTTACTCACGAGGGTGGTAAGGTTGAAGGTATTGAGAAATATCGCGCGGATGGCGCGTTTCGAAAATTCCCTTTCTTGGGCTCTCCCTTGAGGAAGCAAAGGACTATGATCTTGTACCTCTCTTTCACTCTCTCTTTCTCTCTCTCTCTCTCTCTCTCTCTCTCTCGCGTTATATTCTCTTAAAAAGTAAAACCTCTTTCTTTATCTACTACACTTTTATTACAATCTCTTATATTCGTCGTTTATCTTTCAAAGAGAATAGATAGAAAATAGAAAATATATAAAGTCAGTCAGTCAGTCAGTTCTAGCTTTCTTTTTTTCCATCTATTTACTTTGCAATTTTTTATCTTTATCTTTTTATTATTATTAAGATAACACACCGTTAGAATAAAAAAAAAAAAACATACCGACAATGTGACAAATATATGTTGTTATTTACATATATAACAAACAGGGTGGTGAATAAATTATCCATTGGATAATCTTCGGAAGGTGTTGCAAAAGTAACGAAACAAAACAAAAAATAAAAAAATTAAAAAAAAATAGGGGATAAAATAAACGAAGATAAGACGTAAAATCTTAGCATGCCAACGTTATTATCTTCTACCATGAAGATGAACGAAAAGCAAGCAAGCAAGAAGAAGAAGATGGGGAAAGGGGGAAAGGGGTGGATGGAAGGAAGACGTCGAAGGGATGAATTCGAAGCGGATAAAGAGGAACCATGAAGGAAGGAAGGAAGGAAGGGATGGGATGGGGGATGGAAATAGAAGGCGAGGAAGCTCACCTGAAATACCTTAGGAGTATTACGACACATTTCGATCGAATTCTTCAGGAAATCGAGAAATGCCAGTACGGTATCTCCGTTCGTCGAGATATTATTACGTATTTAGGTGAAACGGTTGCCGTTCGCGGAAGGTAACACACTTAGAATGATATTTCTCTATCTCTATCTCTCTCTATATATAACTTTACCTCCCCCTTCTGCTGCTCCACCTCCTGTTCCTTCTCTTCTTCTTCATCATAATCCTCCTGCCCCTCTTATCCTCGTTTCTGTTCGAGTTGCCATAGAATACATCCCCCGGACTCTCTCTATCTCTCTCTCTCTCTCTCTCTCTATCTCTTTCTCTTTCTCTCTATCCTTCTTGGTGCAAGCTATATACACCCATAGCTCTCCGACCTCGAAGGATCGCAGTTCTGCGCGATATCCTGCATATCTCGGCATACCGTCCTCGTCGTTTCCGACATTGTTCCCCGGTCCCGGCCAACACGGAATAATCCCACTCGTTCGACGTCTACGCTCCCGGCTTCCAGCTGGATTCCAGTCGATTCTGCTACCGAGCTTGTGCAGGGTGAGAAGCCAACCTGGCGAGAACGATAATTGGAGACCCTTTTCCTTACTCCTTTACCCTCTTAACCCTTCCTTACTCCTTCCTTTCTTCCTTCCTTCTTTCTTTCTCTTTTTCTTTCCTTTTCTTCTCACGTTGGACCCCTAATAGCCACGTGACCCCCACGTGTACTATGATATTACGATATTATATTACTCTTATGAATTTTTAGAATATTCTTTTCTTTTTGTTTAATAATTGTAATCGTCTGGTTACGAGACGTTTCTTTTATATCAGTTATGTTTTATTTTAAGTCGAATTTTCTTTTATTTTTTGAAGTGAAAACTTCTTTAGAATGGGGGTGATTTAAAAAAATGTAACAGAACGGCATAACGAAAACGGGCCAAACGGATGTAAAAAAAGAAAAAGAGACAAACATATAGGATTGAGCCTGCGAGAGAATGAGACAGAATATAGCTATATAGTTTTTCCTATTCTCGGTCTCCTCTTTATGCTCTGCTTCGTAGTTATCGCTCTTGGTTGTATATGGGTGTGTTTGTAAGCGACTGCATACTACGAAACGTAGACACATATTATTTCGATCCTATACCTGTTTGTAGGTAGGAGCTATAGAAGGGTAGAAGAATAAACAGAGATAAGCACGTAGGTATTCGACAAAAAAATAGGGTAAAAACGAACCGACGGTCGAAATAAAGAAAAAAGGTGCGTGGTCTATTTTTTTTTTTACTAAACGTGTCATTTCTTTTCTATTTAAAAATGTTTCTATTTTATTGACCAATTAATACTAAATTCGTTTTTTCGCAAATATTATAATTAATAATTATAAAAAATATAGAATATAATAATTGTATTGTCTGCAATCATTTACAAAAAAAAAAAAGATTAAAAGATACATCAGAGAAAAAAAAATTCATGTGTGTAGATCACACGTGTTAGAAGTTAAGCCTTCAAGAAACTAAGTTTCGAGAGAATGAGACGAATACAGATTATCAGGTGTAGGATAATTGTAGGATTTATTTCTTATAATATTATTATTATAATATTGTTACCACATTCAAAAATTATTTTACGTTTTATTGACATATAATACATAACATATTACAGAGTAAGCAAGTTCTCAATTTGAAGAAATGAGACGAGTTGCTTATGGTAACTAAAAAATGTATGGTAATTAAACACCACTTTGCGTGCACGAAATGCATGAAAGCGTTCCGTAGAACTATTTGAGACTTCCCTAATATTTTCTTTCTGCAGATGTTCACGACACTGTTCGGCGTTAATTTTCGGTCGAAAGACACTTGAATCACAATTCACAATATCCAATTACGAATCATCTGAATAGAAAATAAAAAATAATGTTACAAAAGTGATCTACTGAGATTATACTTGTCTAGTATGAGTAGAAAGGATTAAAAAAGAAATATATTGATTGGAAGCTATTTAATGACTTACGATGATCGTTTTCACTATTTCTAACAGTGAACGCATTAATACCCGCATTAGAGATATTAATTTACACATTTAATAAGGCCTTCTGGCGTGCACGAAATGCACGAACACGTTTCATTGAACTCTGGAATCTTCCTTATCGTGTTTTTCTGCTGAATTTCACACCTTTTTCTCTAGTTTGCGAATTTTTTATATTGTTAAATAGATATATACAAAAAAAAAGTCTTCTGGCCTAAGCGAAAAGCTATGATGAGGGGAAAATGAGATAATTTAAAATGGGAAATAAAACATGTGATCGTACCTAATAAATGGTATAATAAAAACTTATTTGTTCGTTAAAGAAAAGCTTCCCTTCCTAAAAAACCATAGTTTATATTATAGTAGAAATATAATGTTTATACAAAGTATAGTAAGTACTATTACTACTTAGTACTAGTATACTAGTACTTATACTAAAAAGTACTACTAGTACTACTTAGTACTAGTATACTAGTACTTATACTAAAAAGTACTACNTACTACTTAGTACTAGTATACTAGTACTTATACTAAAAAGTACTACTAGTACTACTTAGTACTAGTATACTAGTACTTATACTAAAAAGTACTACTAGTACTACTTAGTACTAGTATACTAGTACTACTAGTACTTAGTATACTAGTATTTCTATACTTTGTATACTAGTATTATTATACTTAGTATACTAGTATTATTATACTTAGTATACTAGTATTTCTATACTTAGTATACTAGTATTATTATACTTAGTATACTAGTATATTAAGTAGTACTACGTACTATTTAATGAGTCTTGTGAACGAGCCTAGTAAACGAGCCTCGTAAATGAGCCTCGTAAAAAGCTTCATCATTCATCATTCATCATTCATCATTCATACCCGTAAACGAGGCTCTTTAACGAGACTCTTTTACGAAGCTCGTTCACGAGGCTCTTTTACGATGCTCCTAATATCCTGTATATATATAATAATATCAATATAAAATATATAATATATTATAATATAATATAATAATAATAATATCTATATATATATATATATATAGAATTAGATATATTTAATTGTTTGATCAACAATATCAACATTGTATTCAAGAAAAATACTGCGGTTTAGTATTTCCCATTGAAATTTGTTTCTTTTTCATACTTTTTTAAATTAATTTTTTGTATTACTCGATCATTTCAAATTCATATGTTTACGAATCGAATTGATTTTCAATTTCGATTTAATCTATAAAAAATCATTGTTACAAATATCGATTTGTCAATTTTATGTACTCATAACTTTCAGTTTACTTCACGTTAAACATTTGTATCTCAATGTAATTTAATCATTTGATTTTTCCTTTTTTTTTTTTTATTTTACGTCCTCGTATGATCAAGGATTATTATTATGTACGCGGAAAATTCGGGCGAAATCGATGAGGAATTCTTCGGCGCGTTGGCGTTGTTACGTTCGAACGATGACGACAGTACTGAGAAACTTAGGAAAATGTTAGACGAACAAATTGAAAAGAGATATGGTAAAGGTAAAACGTTGGCTGTTAGAATGTCTAAAGAATTTTTACAAAAAGAAAGTACACGTTGCAAAACTTATTCCAAAAATTCACTCAAATTTACATCTGAAAATAATTCAGAAATAAATAAATCTAAAATGGTTGAATTAAATGTCAACGAAGAAGAAGAAGAAGAAAATAATGAAGACGATGATGATGATGATGATGATTATAATAATAAGAATGTTGATGATGATAATGATGATGAATTGGAAAAGATCGATATACCAAGAATCTCAATTCCTGATGACATCCCAACAGATGGTGCACTTTGCAAGGTTAAATATCCCAAATTTCTTTTTTACATTAAATTGATCAATAGAAATTTTTTTTTTGCATATGTTTATATAATATTTTGTTTATGTTTTTTTGTATATATTTGAATCCAAAAATTGTTCAAATTAATTCTCGTGATATTATACAGTTAGATTGATAAAAACCAACTAATTCTTTATTTGTAATAAAATATTCATTTGTGTGTTTTTCATGCAAGTACATAACTTTGATGTAATCCTATTTAAAAATGTTGACCATTTAAAATATCAACAAATTATTATGTATATTGAAGAAAATCTATATAATAACTCAATTATAACGATCTTATAAATAAACATATATTTATAAATTTAAATATAAAAATATATCTCTATATAGATGTTTAATTATAAATATTATGTTACTAAGAGATATAACTATTGAATAACTAATTAAACGAATCAAAGATATGCAACGGTACGAAGTTGGGTCCTCTGATATTGCTTGAGTGCCAAGAGTGCCAAGAGATCTATCATCCCCTTTGCCATAATCCAGCGGTCATCGATATAGACGTCTACGATCCCAGACTCGTTTGGCGATGTGGAAAATGCGTCGAAGTTAGAGTCTCCTCCTATGAGACTCCTCCTCCTCCTCCTCCTCCTCCTCCTCTGCCACCTCCTCTTCCTTCTCTTTTAGAAGAAGATCGTAAGGATGATGTTAAAAAAATTGTTAACAAATCTTCCAAAATTGTCAACGTCGAAAAGAAAAAACCTTGTGTTAAGGTGTACGGAAATGAAAAAATGTTCAAACGAAAACGTTGAAGAAGAAAAAGAAAAAGAAAAAGAAAAAGAAAAAAAAAAGAAAAGAAAAGAAAAATATTGTTCTTTTTTTATATTTTCTTTTTTCTTTCCTTTTCTTTTTTTTTAAAACGTATTTATCAATTATTAACACTTTAATATGGCCGCTCATACAACATGTGTGTGATAGCCGGAACATTAGCCGTTATTTTATTTATAACTTCATATATATATATATTTGTTGTTTTTTGTTTTATGTTAATTTTGTCGTGAATGACAATGATGATGAAATGACAATAAAGTTTTTGTAAAATTAATTCTTGAAAAATATTACCGGGCCCCACAACGTTTGACTGCGTACACGTGCGACCATTAAAGTGTTAAAATAAAACTTGTGGAATTGAGTTTGCGAATAGTCAAAAAAACAAAAAAAATGTTCGATATTTTCGAGATAGATGTGTGGTAGATCTTTTATTCGATTATCATTCGTTTACACATACTTCGCTGCTTTGCAATCACAAAAATGCAATCTCTCATAAGAATCATTTCTCATGGAACATTCTAATCACAGCACACAGGGCAACTTACTCTTATTAACTAGAACAAATATCATACAACTATAATACAACGACGATAGATAATTCGCGATTCTATTATATAATATATACGAAAATAAATTTAATTTTAATTACAAATATATAATATATATTTTGAATGAAATTAAATAATAATTTTATCAACGAACGAATCTATCGAAAATTTATATTTCTCGATGAAAAAATTTCATCACAAAAGAAACAAAATTTGCAACATCTTTTAGTCTTTTTATCATCTTTTTTTTCTTTTTTTATTAAAAATAATTAACAAAATTGATCTCAAATTTGACGATGAAAAAAACATTGAAATGTGTCTTATCTGATTGAAAACATTGAATAAACTTACCCATTATTATTTATTATATTTTTCTCATTGACATATTCGATACTCTTATCAGCTTACTTATCTAATCATATTGCGCAAGTGTTATGAGAATTAAAGAAAGTATACATTATATAAATTTCTTTCTTTCCCTTAAACACGATGATAATAACATTAGATTTCTTAAACTAGTTTAACTAAATGCTAGAATTAAATTGTCGTGAAGTAAGTGCCCTGTGAACGAAGAAAAAATCTATGTGTTATATGATAAAGATCAAGATATAGATCAACGATGATATATCGATCTAATATGGCGATAGGAAGGAAACGATGAATGAATTAAAATTCATTTAAAACGACCAACAACTGAATAAATATATATATATAAATATATAACAAGGAAATTATATAATATAATTAAAAAAACAGGACACACAAAAAGAAATTGTTTTATGTAAAGGTGATAAAAAATATCTTTTGTGCTCTGTTATCACAGAATCGTTTCCTTCGTTTAAAGAAATTAATAAAACAAAAAGATAAATAAAAAATTTGGTTAAATTATTTCAATATCGAAAGAGAATGAAAAGCGGTGGTTCCCATTGCGGTGCGTTATTGAATTTTTATATGTTCTATTTTTTGTTTCCTCTTTTTAATAATACTTTATCATTGCCAAGTGAATTAGGTACACACATATTTTTTTTTTTTTTATATCAATAATAAAATCGAAAAATATATACCCGTACCTCGGAGATATAGAACATTATATGTATAAATATATATATATATAATGTAAATTTTTCAGAAAAAAAAAAATTGCAATTCGTAATACGCGTGTATGAAGTTAAATCAAATGTTTTCCTTAAAAATGAAATTTCATTTCAAATTGTGTCTCATTATATTTGTTATTCATTTTCAATTGCACACTCTTGAATATTTTTTGTCTTTTTCATTTTTTATTTTGTTAAAATAATCAGAATTTATTTGTGTGGCACGAATTCGCGTGGATTATTTGGGCAGATGCGTTTGACGTTTGATCTTCGTCTTAAAAAAAAAAAAAAAAAAAATACCCTCTTAGTATATTTTTGTTATTGTGTTTGTTTTAAACTTGGCATTTATAGTATATATATAATAATAATAATAATAATAATAATAATAATGAGGGATACACATATGTAATTATAATTTCTTCTTCGTACGTCATAGAAAGAGAACAAGAAGAAGAGAACAAATTTAAGGATTATTTTCAATACACGTTCCGCAATTGGAAGATGATTCAATCGATTAGATCGATAAGCGTGATAAGAAACAAACAATATACATATATAATACATTAATAGTAAAGATTACAATGTGCAAACGCACATATACGAAAACATGCGTACGATCCTGTTTATAATACTTTAAAAATCACTTTTTAAAATGTGTACGTGTACGTGTATGTATCTCTATGTGTTTGATTAATCTTCTATCTTTGTTTTTTACTTTGTTTTTTTCTTTCTGATTACCTTTCATGTTCATACTTTATTTTATTACGTGCGCGTTTAATAAGCATGCTCTCTCTCTCTCTCTCTCTCTCTCGTCATTTACACTTTCCTAAGGAATTATTCTTATCGAAAAACACCGATGCGTGTTTTTCTTTCTGATGAATATACGGAACACTACTTGCATGCATTCAATTATTCAACGCTAAAATTATTTTATGAGATAAATTTGTTCTATTCGTATTTCTATTTATTCGATTTGAACTTAAAAATAAAAAGAAAAGAAAAAATAAATCAACATTTAAAGATGCATGCATAATTATATATATANAAAAAAAAAAAAAAAACAAAAATAACATTGGAACGTGATTCGTTTCATTATCGACAATATTTTAAAAATGATTCTATCGATTTCATTTTGTATACTTACAATTATCTAACGAACTATCGTTTTCCCCATTTTTTATCTTGTTTAAAAATACGAAAGGATATATTGAAAATAAAATAATACTCGATCGTTCTAGGCATAGTGTGTGCTTATTTGGAAATACTCTTAGTTTTTTACTTTTCTTTTTTTCATACTTGCTCGTTATGGATTTATCTCTCTTTCTCTCTTATTGTGTCTTTATCTTTATCTATTTATCATTCTCAAACGCGTGACAGAGATTCAGCCTAATTTTTGCCAGACTCTACGTGCCAAGTGAGTGTGACATCGATTAAATAAAGATTTTGACACTCGTGTCAAGGATCTAACTGATCTCTCGATCATTGTTAACTTGGCACTCGATCATTATCTTTCTCTCTCTCTCTCTCTCTCTTTTGTCAATCATTTCAATCATGCCAAATTTCTTTCTTTTACTTTGTTCAAACACAACGTAGTGTTGTCATACTTTGCGAGTCCAATCGCGTATTATATTTGCTACAATAAAAATAATAATATGCAATGATAATTAAAATAAAAAAAAAAAAAAAAAAATAATAATGAAGAATTAAAAAACACTAACGCGATGACGATCAAATTCGTATTTCGTACATCAACCACCCTGTATCAATTAATTGTAATATTTCTCTCCTTATATACTTTTGTTTACAAATTTCTCTTTTCTTTTTTTTTTCATGTTTTTTTTTTTTATTTAACAGAGATAGAGAGCTTAGATCTGACACTAAGGGAATGACACTGTGATATGACTATTCAATCCTTCCGTGCATTATTTTTCTCGTCGTGTGAAAATGTATTCAAAATTATTTTAGTTCTTAAACAACACCAGGTGCACGGCAAATTGCATTTTCATATATGTATAATATACGAACGTATAATTGTGTGTGCATATAAGTGATTATATGTGTTGGTATGTATATATATATGCACAATGACTCAAAGAAATATTCGTATCCATTCCCTCATTGTCAATTTTAAACAACTGATATTTGTTTGTAATACAAAGTTTCAAAATTCTTATACGAAGAAATCTATTTTAGGATTATTTAACCTTTCAAAATGATATGAATGTTATTGCATAAGAACATTCGATTGTTTGTTTGTAAAATATACTTTTACGTAAGATGATTTGATTTTGTTTAAAAAAAAGAAAAAAAAATAAATAAATATTTTATTTAATTATTATTTATTCTTAAGTTTATTCCCATATATATTTACCCCTTTGAGTTAATTTTTAAATATTGCATTACGAGTAAATTTAATTGTTTAAAATTGACAATGGAGATACGAAAACTCCTCCTCTGATTCACTATATACATCGGTATGGTAAATACTCATGCATATATATATATGTATGTATGTATGTATGTATATACATGCATATATGCTTTACACGTGTATGTATGTATATATACTTATCGATATGGTAGCGTTCGATATCAGGCACGAGAAACAAGTGATTCATTAAAGATCTTATCACTGATAATAGTTTACCAAGCATTTACAATTTGATATCAATATGAAGCGCAAAAATGTAGATTATTATCATTATTATTTATATTATTATTATTGTTATTATTATTATTATTATCTTTAGTGCATCACTTGGCACGGATTGACGGAACGTTGTAATAACATTGAATAAGCCGATCATGATCATTGGTTACTTATCATTGATCATTTCTCATTTTCTAAATGTTAATGACAATGAAGAAGAGTACAAAAATTACTCTTAACAAATGGCAATATTTAACCATGACGACATTTCGCCGAACATTATTTCTTTCCATTTTCTTTAGTTGACAACATAAATTAATTGCATATTGCATATAATTTTTAGAAAGAATTTATATTAAACAGTGATTAAGAAAGTAATCTAATCATCGGTTGACATAATACAATTATTAATATCATATATGTGTAAACCAATGATTTACAAAGATAAGTAAAAAATGATCTTCTTACGTTAATGTGTTGAACAAATTTATAACTTAAATTACTTTCAGAATCACAAGATTGTACACATATAATACAAATACATAGGCGAACATGTCGGTGGTTTATTGTTTAGATAAGTAACCTAAGAAAAGATTCTCATATTAAAATATATAGAGAAATAGTAAATCGTATTCGTGTGTATAAAAATTTGCAAAACAGATATTTTTTTTCTAAATTGTGTAAGATAAATAACAATCTATAGTGTATAGTATGTTAATGTATCATACGTATCAATATTTCAAACGGAAAGCTTTTGAAGTAATACATATATATGTATGTAATGTATGTATGCATGTATCCATATATGTATATATGTAAGTAAGAGTTGATTTTGTTGAAACTAACATTTTGTAAATGCTTATATCCAATACCATTGTTCTATAAAATTCTTGTGCTCTTCAGGAATATACTAATATAATCTTATATGAATCGAGAGAACATTGTTATTATTTAACAGATTTCTCTTGATTAAAAAAATTGAACCACACACATACAAGTGATTGTTACAAACATCGTTTCAAATTTCATCCCTTGGTCAGATTATACAATGAGAGATCGCAAAATTATTTCAATTATTTTGTTAAATATTTTGCGATTCCTCTTCGAGCATACTCTTCTCAAATAAATTTCTTAATAATCGTTAAAACGTGACAATTCTACTGAAATATCGAATACTATGTGTATATATATACATATACAAGTATGTATATATGTACATATATATGAATTATAAATATTTATGTGCTAGAGTTAAAAACATAGGAACTACATCCTAAGCTTCTCGTATGACGGTTACTTCTCATATTTTAATAATAATTAGTCTCGTAAATAGATCTCACAGAAATCATTCGGTTATCTTAAAATCTAAACTTATAAGCCCTGTTTCCTACACGTATTACATATCAACTAGCATCGATGCTCATTCTCCTCCAACAAGATATTAATTAGAAGATATTTTATCAGATAATATTATACTTAAGATCTTTTTTTTTTCTCATTGCACGTTCATTTGATGAATCGTCAATTTTTCATAGATTTAAATTACATCGACATAAATGCAATATTTTTCTCTTTCCTTCTTTTTTTTTTTTTTGTTCTTTCCTCTCTTTCTCTCTCTCTCTATATATATATGTCTCTTAACAACGAATTTGAACATACAAAATAATGTTTTCTCTACTTTATATAAAGCGATTGAAAAACGTAGCGACTAGACTTTATGCGATCGACTAGAATCACCACTTTCAAAAAATTCTCTACAAAGATAAACTTTTTTCAATTCTCTTCCAAACAAACTTTTTTTCTTATTTTCTTCTTCTTCTTTTTTTTTTTGTTTCTCGTTTATTATTTTCTTCTTGTTCCGTAACGACGATGGACCTTTTTCTTGTGAAAAAATTTCAATTTACGTGTGCTAATTTCTGATCTTACTTTACTACATACTATACGTGCTGTTTATATGTAATACAACTTCATTAATTATAGTCACTACGATGTTTTTCTTTTACTAATTAATAATTGTTATTGGAAGGCCATTAGAAGATTCATCGACAAGTTACCAGTGCCGTACTTTGAAAGTGCTACATTTCTTTCTTTCAACTTATGTTAATAATAAAACATAATATCTAATGATAATTAAAATATAATAATCGAAATAATGTAAATTTTACTCGTTATATATACTACTATGATATAAATAAGAACGATAATAAATTTAAACAGATCACTTTATACATCTTAAGAAATACTAAAATTTTCATTTAATTTTCTTCATTAAAAAATAATAATAATAATAATAATAATAAGTTATAGCACTTTCAGGTAATGGCAGTAGACACTTTAAGATGAGAATCAAAATTATAAATTATTCTATAAAATTAATCCACTTTCGTGGCAGGTAATCCATAGCCAACAACCAGTTGTTCTTTCGGAAAGTCTAAGATTACTGTAAAATGAAATCCCATATTCGCTGAGGCTATCACATATTCGCATAGTGAGAACCAGCTAAATGCTAATAGAAAGAAAAGAAAAAGATAGAATAAGATAAGTATCAGTTAGGAAAGTAGACTTTATATATACATGCCATAATGAAAAAGCATCTATGTGACAATAACAACTTATATAAGCTATAGAACATAATGAATAATTAAAATAAAAATGTTCTTACCTAAGTCATGACATAAGAGTCGATGTTTTAAAAAGAAGATAATGAGTCCCACTGTACTGATTATGCTTGTAACAAATAACGCTTGCTTGTACTGAAGACTTTGTGCATTGGGAGTAACAAGACGGCCTAATCTTACCGTTGTCAACATATATGTAAGAGAGCTGATCATGAACATGATAAAAATCTTTTCATGTACAGCTGAAAAAAGTCAAAAGAAACAATAAATGTTAAATCGATAATCAAACTTTTATTTTACATTTAGAAGTTAATACTTTAATTAACTTTACTTAGTTCTAATTAGAAGCAGGTTTGTGTTACCATCAACAAGGTGAATCATTTGTTAGCATCATCTTAGATAATTGCATGCAAGGCACGTTAATTAAATTTTAAATGATACTACTATGTCATTGATTCACCTTGCATTCAATAAACTTAATAATATGTAAATAATGTTTTTACTTACGATAATTCTCTCTGTTTGAAATATATGTAACGCCGCTTAAAGCAGCTACCTCAGCAATGTTTAACCAATAGCATAAATTTAATAGTCTGCAACCCACAATTCTGCTAGGTACATCTTCCAAGGATTTGAGTATTTTATAATAATACGAATGATATACACTGGCGATAACTAAACGAGGTCCAATATGCAATGCTATGCTAATACGCCATAAATATCGTTGAGGAGATACACCAGTAATAGCAGAAATCGATGGTAGAACATTGTAAACCTGAAAAGTAATACATATATCAAATAATTTCTATTAAATAATATACATTTTTATAATATGTTGATCTTGTTATTTGTACGTACCCTGCAATGCGTTTCATGAATGTCATCCTGTTGAAAAATATATGCTGTGACAAAACAAAATAGCAAGGAGAACAATGGTAGGCAAACGGTGAACATACATAATTTTTTAAAAGATATTACTAAATACACAGAACTTTTGCTGCCACCAACATTGTTAAGCTCCATACTGGTATTGTTCATCATTTTGGCATTTAAGAGTATAAAGAGGTATTAGATAAACTTATGTTATATTACCAGATAATAATACATGATTGCTTTTAGATCAATCCTATTATTTAAAAGTGCGTGAAATCGTTCTGTGTTTCATGATGATATGCCGCCTATGGAAAAAAAGAAAAAAGAAAATAAAAGATAAGATTTCATAAGATAGATATTTCAAAGAATTTTATCTTGATTTTAATTGAAAACAATAAAAAAAAAATATATATATATATATCTATATTAAAAATATGATAAAAAATATAATTGAAATTGAAATAAAAATGAAAAATAAAAATCCACTTATTATGACAAGTAAATAGAAACTTAAACGTGTGTTAGTTTGAAAAAGCCGGAGAAAAAAATGTAAAGGGAGGCAAAGAAGAAAGAAGGAAGTGTACAATAATATGTATTATTTCGCGCCACACACATAAAAATTGTTAAGAGATATGAGGTGATACAATTCCTGTCTTTTTTTTTTTTTTGGAATTGATTTTGTGGATAACCTACTTTTTCTATAAATAGCAAACAAAAGGCTACCATCGCGGTGTGAGCACGTTCATGACATTTTGCTACGGGCAGTGCATCGTCCTTCTCTTTTGGAAAGAAAAAAAAAAAAAAGAAAAAGAAAAAGATACTAATAACCGGTGCGACAGTAGTATCATTAACAATATTAATTTAATTCGATAAGTATCAAATATCAAATAATATATTTGTAATTTGTGTTTCTATTTTTGAACTTACACAAAAATGGTAATCTATCGATTCAAAAATATCGACGAATACATAATTCTACTCAACACTGCAATATATTTTCTTGAAATGATATTTAAAGAACAATGGATTATGTTAAAAAAAAAAAAGCTTAAATATTAAATAACGTGTGTTATTCGATCAAACGTAATTTGCAATGATTACAATGGACAAAAGGAATTAATAAAATAGAACTAAGAAAAAGAAATAATAAACGTTAATAACTAGTAAATGAATAATTTATCACTTACTTCACTTGTGAATTGCATGTATCGTCTGCTAAGACTTACGAGATACGGTAATCTCCATCAAACCAGTCGCCATCTGCTTTTATTATTTTTAGGGCGCTTCCAATCAATTTAGCGCCATTTTTAAATTAGCTATTTGTCTTATCGTAAATTACAAATTAAAAAAGTGTTGAATAATACTAATTTAGTTCTTTTTTTTTTTTTCTTACATTATTTTTATTATTAATTATAAAATATATTTTTATATATATATTTACAAACTAGATGGGAAAATAATTTTTAAAAGAAACAGTCCATGATTATGTACATTGAAAGATATAAGAAAAAATTAAACATTATTAAAGTTAAAGGTACAATAATAATGTAAACAATCATGAACTTACTTAATTTAGTTTATTGAAAATATAATTAAAAGAATTATTTTGAATATTTTTCTATACTTTTTGTTTTAAAGGAGGTTCATTCTCAATTTCATATTCAATTTCAATTCTTGGACGTAATCTTTTCTTCTTTTGAGATTTCTTATCTGTAGTTTTCGATCGTTTTGCTTTACTCGTTGATGGCACAATTTCCTAGTAAAAATAAAAATATTATTCATGATTTTCTTATCCATATATCACTTTTTATATTTTAATATTAGAATATTTGTTTACCTCAATATCTTCAGTGTCTGATTCAAAACTATCAGATAATTCAGTTAATTCCTTTTGACCAGAATCGCTATCTTCATCCTGTACAAAAAATGCATTAGAAATGATATAAATTAGAAATTTATACTTTACTTGTTCAGTTTGATCGTTCTTACCATAGATGCTTCATTAAAATTGTATTCTTCGTCATCATCATCATCATCATCCTCATCATCACTATCTGCTTCTACGTATCTTGGTCCATTAGCTATTGCTCTCCTTTCATCTGCTTCCAATTCCACTTCTACTTCCTTTTCAATATTTCCTCTCTCCTCTTCCATTTCGCTTTCCGCTTCACTCTCATCTTCACCTTCAACTTCAACAGTTTCTATAGCTTTATCAAATACTTTTTGCGGGAAGTTGTAAATTTCATTGTACTGTAAAAGAAAAATTTAGAATAAAACATCAAAATTATAATTAATAGTATATTAATAACATTAGAAATATTTTTACTAACAACTCCTTGTTTCAATCTTTCCATAAGCTCCCTTTCGATAACGTTTTCTACTTTTGCAGCAATAAGAGCCTTTTCTTCTCTACGTCTTTCACGTCTTTCAATTTTCCTAGAAAGTGGTACTATTTTCTTCTGTCTCCTTAATTTAAGTTTTCTCATACGTATGAGGTATTGAGTTATCTTAAGAAATCTTTGTTTGCATTTTGCTTTTATAAAACCTGGCCAATACAATAAATTCTCATTGATTTGATAGATAGCTTTTTCAAAATTTCTGGAAAGTTTTACTTTCTCCCACATATTCTTTGGAAAATGTACTCTAAAAAATATGGATGTTAAATTATTTATGGTAACAATTATTTTGGTATATGCTTAGAGAATTAATTGATTACCTTTCAGCAGTTCTCATATACAAATAAATAATACCATTTTCTTCTCTAATGGTTGCATATTGACTATTTGCAAGAGGGCATGATGACCGGCTGCATAATCCAGTTAGGTTATATTCATTTCTACAAAATCTCTGTGTTTTGGTGCTATTAAGAAAATGATTAAATTTATAATAAATTATTATATGCATAAATATGTAATACAATTAATATATAAAAATGTTTATACTTACTTCACTTTAAATGAACAAAAGGATTTATTGATTATACTCCAAACAACCTATGAAAAATAAGAAAGTTAAAAATGTATTTTTATATTAAAGTATTACAACTTTATAAATGATTTCTTTTACTTACATCGTCGTGCTGCATTTTGCCTTAGGATATAAATACTTTTCTAAAAAGTAATTATTTTCACAATAAATTATTTGATAATATTAAAAAAAAAAATATATATATATATATTCTTTAACACAACCCACGTGAATTGTTCACCTTAGCATATCTGCAGATTGCACGAATAGGTTAGGATTTCAATGAATGTTTTATAAATATCTTTGACAGATGGCGAAACAGTCAAGATTAGTGTAGAGGGTTTCTCTATAGTAAAGATAATATTAGACTGAATTTGTTTTATGATCTTTATTGTTAGGATGCGACTTGCTTTTCTTTGTTGTACACTTCTCGACGGCTACGCACAGACTGTACTCGTCTGGTGACCACACTTGCTAGCGTGGTTCCCTAGCCTTCTAGTAACTTAGATGGCGCGACCATCGGTCGTACCGCTACATTAGTGTAGAAGTATAATGGACACGCGACAAGGAAGGGATTTAGGTGTTCGATTTTTACCATATAATTATTGTATAGACCAGTTTATTTTTTATAAGGTATTTTTTGAGAACTTTTTATAGTCCTTGTCTATGTATTGCAAATTTCACAGATGTTTTAATCAATGTAATGACGACATATACTCTATAATAAAAAACTTAACCTTTCCATTCCTTGTGTAAAGGTGCAATAATGTAGGGACCCTATAGGAGGGATGCGCCATGTACATTGCTGGGGGACAAAAACTCGTGTAGTCACGTGATTGCGCGCGAATAATTCAAACGATAAGTTATAGGTTAGGTTTGTACATTTATACTTGTAATTATTAAATGAGTAAATTAAACTTACACTTATAGAAAACTACTTTAAAAAAACAAAACAATTAAATATAAATATCACAATAAAAACTATAAGTATTCCAAACTTAAACTAACCACAGCCGTTAATACATACTAAAGATAAACATGGCTGCGAGATACAACCGAAGCTGTCCCCCCACATTTTCAGCCTAGCAATGTACATGGCGCGTCCCTTCTATAGGGTCCCTACAATAATGTAGGGATCCTGTAGGAGGGATGCGCCATTCATATTCAGCTCATGTGCCATTGGCTGAAAATTTTGGGGGACCGCTTGAATTTATAATAATTTTTTCGTGTAACCTATTCTATTTTAATATAAATTTTTAAATATCATTAAATATAGTTCATTTTTTTCTGTATTTGATGCAATTCATTATTTCATAATTATTTCAATGTTTGAATCATTCGCGCGCAAAATCGAGTTCCGGTCCCCCAGCAATGTACATGGCGCATCCCTCCTATAGGATCCCTACAATAATGTACATCGTCCTGCCATCTAGTAACTAGATGCAGAAGTTAAAACTCTCAGTGATAAGTTATCAAAGAATAATTTTACCATCTGCAATTTACGTGCACAACATATTTTTATATAATAAATTATTATTTGTTATTGCGTAAATCAGCTATTTTAATCAACTGACGTTTATATATCTAACTCCATTTGAATTTGTAGGGAAAATACATTTTTTTATTTATTTATTCATGTAATATCGGCCAAGCATTCCCATACATTTGTAGAATTATTATCTTAGGAGTAAAATTGTTAATTATTTGAAATTGTTGTTGACGGTCGGTAAGTAAGCCTATTAAGGTGCATTCACAATCAATCAGTGTCGCCATCTGAACATAATCGATGTACTTCACGATTCGATAGTACCTATTATCGATATTACATGTAGAAAATATTTTAAGCGATTTTTTAAATTAATCTTTTTCATAATTTTTTAAATTTATATCAATTTATTTGCAATAATACAAGAAGTTAGATTTGTAATTTTATAATATGACAAGAAAAAATAAAAAGCTTTCGAATAAAAAAGGTATAAATTGTTAAAACAAAATTCTCTCAAAATTTGTAATTAGTTTTTTATAAAAGAGTTAAAATACTGATTTGAATTAAAAAAAAAAAAAGTAAGAATCGTGTAAATATTTTTATCTATTAAAAGGATTTAATTAAAAATACAAATGAGAAGAATTATATATATATATTTATTATTAATTTAATGAGTAATATATAGTTTATATATATATATATATATATATAAACATTAGAAATATAAAATTGAAAGTGATTCGAATAAAAGTATACATATTAAAAAAAAAAAAAAAGGAAAGAAAAAAAAAATACGAAGAAAGTTATAGAACGGTCCCGCGTTTTCATTGTCTTGTAATCCCTTTCAGGAACTAATCACCGGATAATGGACGAATTTATATTCGCGTGCGGTGGTTGGCGAACCCTGACAACGGTTAGACGTCATCCTGTCACTACTTCGATCTTTTCGCGACATCGTTCATGGGTAAGTCAAGTTTCTTAATTAAGAACTCTTCACCCTCTCGTGCTCTTGTCCAACGATGAAGGGCGAATGAGGGGGTAAGTAGGGACGGTCAGGGAACATGGTGGTCGCTTAAACAATGCCGACAACTTTTCAAATCTTTTGTTTTTTTCTTCTTCTTCTTCTTCTTCATCTTCTACTTCTTGTTCTCTTTCTTTTTCTTTAAGCTTTTTAAGCTTTTAAGTCCAATTAAAATTTTTCTAAGATCTTTAACTTGTTAATTGTTTGTCAAATACTTCATCAAAGAGTTGTCGCTATATATATATAAATTGTTCATTAATTAATAATGTTTATTTTATTTGTTCTTAGAATTTTTTAAATATTATTTAATTATTTATTATTATATTCAAATTGTTTTTATGTGTAATCATTATTTAAGTACAGGTATCCCTCTAACAACACGGTTTCCCTTTCACTCGATTCACAAATTGCGGTAAATCCTCCATCAACACGGTTTCGCTATAACACGATTCATAATTGCGAGAACCCTTCTACAACACGGTATCCTATAAAACGGTTTTCTTTCAAAAAACCTTTGTACAACACTGTACTTTTACAGCCGCAGCGAGGCTTACCGTCTTAAAGATACAGTGTCGCGGAAAGTATTTCTTTTTATCTTCATGGCCTGAAAACAAAAGTGTCTCACGTTGTTGTGAACTGAAAACATCAACGTTAAATACGTGTTGGAAGAAGATATGGTTCTCTTCAGTTAAAATAGAAAACGTGCGTGAATCGTCACAAAATGAAATTGGTTGTATATCAGAAATTGTTAAATCAATCAGAGGCGAAGGTTTTGTTGAAATGGCTATTGTGGACGTTCAAGGTTTATTAGTGGAAGAAGAAGTTGACGAAGCGGATTTGATGGAAATGGTTTCCGAAACTGTAAATCAAATTGATCTTGAGGATACTAGTACTGATGAAGATTGTGCTGTTAATAAGTTAACATTAAAAATATTACAAGATGTCTTAAACTTAGCTGAAAATCTCGAGTCATTTTTCTTGAATGCAGATCCTTCCAAAGAAAGGAACCGAAAATTCAAAAGGAAGCATCAAAACTGTTTAGCTTCATACCAAGAAATTTATAATGACCTGGTAAGAAACAACAAGCAAAGTAAAATTACAGATTTTTTAAAGAGAGAAGAAGATGTAAGAACTTAGAAAAAAAAAATACCGTTCTGAAAGTCAAGGCGATATCATTCCACCGAAAAAACGTTCCTGGTTGAATTAATTGAGCAGTGACGACGAAGAAATAAATTAAATTACAGTTGCGTTAAATTAAGATAATCGTTTTTGTTTTGTATTGTTCATACATTTATACTTTTAATAAAAATTAAGTTGTTTATTTAAAAAAAAAGAAAAAAATATTTGTTTTTACAAAGTTTTCGGAACGTAACCCCCCTTTTTGCATTGGCTCTGGGTCTCAAACAACACGGTTTCAAATAAAACGGTATTTTCTAGGAACCTATCTACCGTGTTATTGGAGGGAGACCTGTATACGTTTAATTATTTATTACAGATATATTTTTGTATAGTATCACGATAATAAATTATTTTTATATTTTACACAAATATTTAGATATATGAATATATTACATATACATTATTATTAAATTACTATGTATATCTTTATATTGAAATATAATTATATACATATATGTGAGAAAAAATATTTTATTAAATTATTAATAATCATAGATATATACATTGTACATATACATATAATATCTATTTTACTTTAATATGTATTGTATTTGCAATATTTAATTATTTTTTATATTTATTATTTTATTAAATATATATATATATATATATATAT